AAGTCTTAGCAGTTACGAAATATTCATCTCTTTCCTGCCGTCAGTTGGAAGCACCACACCGTCGTGGACTACTGGTTGGATGGCACGGCTGCTTGTGGAAGCATCGAGTTACGCTTATGGCCGAAAGAAGCACCGCAGAGCCTACGTGACTACGAGGCCCATATGGTGATCAGTCTACAATGCCAAAAGTTCCATAGTCTCTACAGTGACTCATTGGCCTGTGTTCATGCCCATACAACCTGTATCTTGTGCCATGGAACAAGTCAGAGAACGATCTCGTGTGGACTACGAGTCCTTGCTGAAACCAGGAAATTGATGGGGCCCAACAATATTGGGTGGTCTGGCTCAAGGTCGTATATAAGACAGCACACATGTTCCAGTTGTTTCTAGTAGAGTGGTTGAATATCAAACAGCGGGCGTTAGCAACCTACATTCTTTCAGAGAGCAACCTGCCACGCCCAGCATGTATCCCCACGCTTTGTTCATCGCTGCTTTGGCCAGCGTGGCCGTCCTAGCTGCCCCAGCCCCAGGGGGTATTGGTGTGGGTACGGGCGTGGACATGGCCATGAATCCGGAAGACAATGTGAATCAAGCCAAAACACCACTGGCCCAGGGTCGCCTCAGCTCAGGGAACTTCTACCATAATTTCATCCGGCTTGCAAAGCGACAAGGAACGACGGAAGGAATCGCGCCCACTCAGGACGCGCCAACCGTCTCCGCGGCAGCCGCCACCACTTTCCTTAACATATCCAACCTGCCCTCCAACCTGCCCACTCCTTCATCCCCCGCAAACGTCTCCGAAATCACCATATTTGCCAACCTAACGACGCCAGTTCCAACCCCGCTCCCATTTCCGGTAAACATCACTTTAGTTCTCTTGAGCACCACCGAAGCCCCCACCACCGCTGCCGTCTCTGCAGCCCCCGCCCCGTCATCAAACGGAAGCTTCACCCTCGTCACCATCACCGAGGCTCCCATCATTGCAACCTTCACCCCCTCTCCGCTCCCTCCGCCAGCAACGGCAAACACCACAGATATCGTCATCGTCACTGCCAACGCCACCGGCGTCGCCGCCGTCACCGCCCCACCCATTCTCGTGAACCAAACCGCCGGCCCATCCGACATCGTCGTCATCACCGTGACCGGTCTCGTAGAGGTCCCCGAGCCAGTAACCGTCACCTACTCCATCGTCGTCGTCACTGTAGCCGCACCCGTCGGCGGCGGCGGCGGCGTTGTCACGGCGCCCCAGCCCCAGACACCTTCTTTGGTGGTTGTGACGGTGACTGCCAGCTCCGGCATTCAGACTACCGCCCCCATCGCCACTACCATTACCGTGACACAGGGTGGTGGTGTGGCGGCGGTACCAGCTTCTCCATCTGTTGTGGTCAGCCCCTTCGCCCCCACTCCTGCGGTGCAGACCACGACTGGTGTCGATGGGAGGACCATCACCCTGGTCTCCACAGACACGCTTGTCTCCGGGTCAGCGGATGCAAGCGTGGTGGGTACTGCGACGTTTACGAGCTTGGTGGTGATTCCTAACTCAGTGGTGAGTTCTTTCGATAGGGTCTCGCTGTTGTTGAGGTGAACCAAATACTGATCTTTCTCACTGACACTCAGGTATCAACCTCGACTTCGTCGCCGGTGGTGACGGTATTCTCAGGAACAACAACCGTTACCGCTGTCTCTGTTACTGTTTAAGATTTAAGGCATCTGCGTGGGAGTGGAGGACATAAAGAGCTTGGAGATGGGGAGGGAGTAGGCTTTGCTGAGAGGGCATATAATTCAAGCTGAGTTGACTGAATAGGGACAGAAAATGGCAACAAGGACGGATCGAGTTGGGACAACCCTGCAAGCCTATGCAAAGTCGTGGATCTAGATTGATTGAAGGCCAATGATCCACCAGGACCACTGGTAGTCAACAAAGCTCTGTTGGACTTTCAACATTAGAGTTCTTTGTATTCCCTAAATATGAAGAAACCTGCCATTTATCGGTATGGGTATAAACCCTTTCCAATCTCACATTCTCAATCTCTGATCCTAGTCAAGCACTAGATTTTGAATGACTGAACAGTTCCTGGATGAGTAAGTGAAAAAGGGGGTAAAGGGATAGTAAACACAGCGCACGGGCCTCACCAGCACTTTGAGCCCAACCCCTTTGTCCGCACTCTCACCACGCTCATCTTTCACCATGTTGGACGCAATTCTTGAAGAGAATTCTGCTAATTATGTATTGATAAAAAAGGTTTTTATTATTCCATGCTTTATTATGGAGACTTTGAACCATGATTGATTGCACTATCTAACCAACGAGACTAGGTAGTATATACAGCCTAACACCTCCGAGTTAATATGCTGGTACCGGTGTATGACAAAAAAGTCCCGCAAAAGCGTGGACAAGTATTGAATTTTATCTTACACATTGTAGATCCTCTCAAAGCGTGTCTTTAACGGCTTGCAACGGACCAAAGAAAATCTTGGCACAAACGGCAGAACGGTGTCCAGACATACCCTCCTCCTCCTCTGTGTTGTAATAGCAGTCAGTCTAAGACTCGCTTCAAAGCCACGGATCCTGGACAAATGTCAACGGCAACCAAGCCCGCTTCTCCACTCCCGGAAGCTTCCAATAGCATCCACTGTCAAGTTTGCAAACTGCATATCTCAGTATTTCATATTCTGAATCAGCGGTGACGGCCGCCTGTGACAAAGGGACACGTCGTCCGTTGCATCGTCCAGCTGCATTAGCGGTAGTGAGTGGCATTGAAGTGCTAAAACTCACATATGCACGTCAGTTAGTCTCTTAGAGTCGGTCGTGACTTCAACATACGGTACCATTCTGCCGACCTGCTGCCTGGAATAATCGAACAGTTGCTGTCACTAGTAACGTCTCCGCTGGAGCTCTCACTAGCAACAGTGCGACGCACCGTTGAGAGCGCGAAGAAACCAAAAGACAGAGGGGCTGGGGGGATGTATGCCGTCCGCCTTCCGTGAGCACTGGCACTCCTTGGCCCGAGTTACACAGCTTCTCTGGCATCTGTTTGGCTGCGGTGGGCTGATGGTGATTGCCTCGAAATACATTAGGCCTGGAACACAGCCATCTCCTTACTGGAACGGATGTGACATCCGTATTGCGCGCGGCGGCTCCTAGGTCTAGGGCTCGCCGGTGTCCTCATGCTTGGGGGCTGGCAGGAAGCAGATCCCGGCCAGTTTCTGTCAATTTAAGCCGGGATAACAGACAGCCAGAGAAATATTGCATCACACCCTCGATGGTGGCCCAGCCACCGGACTGTTGAGACTACATCCGGCACATTAGTCCAGTCCACAGTATCGTAATTGCGGCCAATGGAATGTTGCATGGACAGCAACAAAGGCAGACAACCAAGACATAGATTGTGATCCGAATATTAAATGAGAACAGCCTGACGGTCAAACCGTTGAGCTTCATTCTTTCCGCTGATTTGTTGGTTTATCTGTCTGCTTGGATTTGATTTGGTTGAGGTGGGCCGCCATTTGGGCCCCCCAGCTTTGTGCCATTTGACGTGCAGGAGGGACAGATCATGTTACCAGCGATAACCGACCTCAGCAATTCTAACCTGCAAACGCCATGCCAAGACCTGAGAGGGGCTTTCAACAACTTGCACCATTAGGTACCAGGTATGTGACCTGGACAGGTCATCCTACGCGGCCGCTCTCGACTCTCGGTCGAGTCGTCTCGAACAAGCTAGTAGGCACACGGGGGCGCCCACTCTCGCACAGTATCCAGTGCGCAGACCAAACCCATTTTTCTTACCCTTCCTTCCTCTGTCAAAGGCAAGCCGATCGGCAACCAGCTTGGCCTTGTAGTCACGGAGCTGGGCCTGATCCCGCTGGATGCGCGGCGCCTCTCCTCTTCCTGCTCGAGCTTGGCCTGCTTCAGGGGCACTGTGCCGATCTTGAGAGCCAACCCGGCCAATTTCAAGAACCTTTCCAGACTAGGGGTCCCAGGAACGCTTCTGGCCTGGCTTACGACCTCGGAAAGAACTTCAAACGCTGCTTCGATCATCGTGAAGAACTTAGATAATTGATTTGAATAAAGAATAGTTGACGAATATAATTGAATTGTTGAGATAGCATAAAGATCTGAAGACTACACATTCGCACAAGGAAGAAGGATTTTCTACACACCAGTCCTCCCGGGTTCAACTCGGACAATAATGGAAGGGGCAAGCGGTTCATCTCCGATTAAGTTTACACTGTCCAGCTTGGTCGTATGATGTCCCGTGGCAGGGAAGGAGCCAGCGCAGAGTTTTGTCATTTCACGATGGACGGGAAGGACCGACCATGTCACGGCCTGGCAATCCCAGGCTCCCTGGCAGGCTGGTGTTGGGGCTGGCGGCATCCCAACACACCGTGGCACCCTTCAAAATACGGTACAGGGTTCGACTATGGCAAGTCGAACAACGTTCCCCTTTAGCCCTTTTGGGGAGTCGTGGTTTAGTGGTCGGTCTGTGCTCGTGACAGACCAGTTCGTGGTGGGGGATAGCCAGACTACAGTTGCCATCGATCTAACCGAGGTAAGGCAAGTGGGCGACAAAAAGAACGGAGACCGCGGAAAGTTGTGATGGGATAGTTGTAGATGGGATACCGAAGGCTTGCACGAAAGAGAACGATAAACCTATTGCATAGGAGGCTGAACCCCTTCCCCAGATCGACCGATCACTCGGCTGCCTCGCAAGGTTCAGTCAGGGCTGTTGACTAGGTTGCTGACAGGGTCAGAAATCAGAAGCATGGGTGGTGGAAACGAGGGTTTGGATGATCACGCCGAATTGGGAAAGCAATGTGGGTAGCCATGGAAGCTTTGGCAGCCAACGGTCTTTCGCATAAAAGAGGTTTAGCTCATCGTTCTTTTTCGTGCGAGCCTTCGGTAGTTGTGGATGGGATAGTTATTTTTGCGCAAAATGAATGGCCGAAACACGGCCCGGCATGAAACGGGCAGGCTGGCCAAAATGGCAAAACAAAACAAATGTTCGACGCAGGGATCGAACCTGCCACCTTCTTGGATCTGACCCGTGATATTCCTATCATCGAATGTGAGCAAGATGTGATAACCACTACACCAGCCGAACATGTTGAAGCTTTTGTGCGGAATTGTGTATTATGGTTGTGTGGGTTTCCCCAATTTTGTAGATAGACTTTCAACCTTCGAAGAGATTGGGACCTCCACCAAATCGAGCTATGACGTAATGGGCAGTTTTAGGGGACTTGCTAACAGGGCTCCCTCCCTTAGCACCCGCCGCCAACGCCAAGATCCTGTAGCCAAGATCCAAGGGCGGGAGGGGGGAACGGACGACGACGACAAAAGACAGGCAGGCGCGACTTCTTTCTCTTGCTGCACCTTATCCTTTCTTCGAGTGAAGCTTTTGAATTGTCTCAACCTCTTTTGGGTCTCTCTCAATTTTTGACCCATTTGTGTCGCGCCCGGGTTCTCCCCTGCCATACCTAACTCACCTATAACAGCCCCCATCATTCATTGAGAACAGCAGCCATGCCCATCCGACTCACCAACAATGGCTACGAATCTGAGGATTCAGACGACCTGCTCGAGCAGGGTCGGCGTAGGGCGCGGCGCGTCATTGATGGGTTTATCGATTTTGCCTTCCAGGGGAATGTGCTCGAGATTGCCTTTGGTTTGATGTGAGTGCTGCTGTTGTTCTATCTGTGAAAGCCTGTGTCTTGAGTGAGATAGGATATCTCGATGAGATATTGGTCTTCAAGGCCCCCATACTGATGTTCAGAAACAACCAGCCTCGCCTCAATGTTCACCTCAGTCATCACCTCCCTCGTCAGCGACATCCTGCTGCCGCCCATCTCGGTCCTGCTGCCGCTCAACAAGAACTTAGAGGAAAAGTTCGCGGTGCTGCGGCCCGGTCCGAATTTCGGGTCGACTGACGGGTACAATACCCTCAAGCAGGCGCAGGAGGATGGTGCCGTGGTGATGGCGTATGGGTAAGTTGGTTCCGTTCCCTCCCTATTTACAATACGATATTCTGACTATTGTTTAGATTTTTCCTCAACCGCCTCATTAACTTTGTTGGCGTCGGTTTCTCGCTGTACCTGCTGGCGTCTATCTACCAGTGTTTCTCGAACGACCCCATCATTAAGCATACGGTTAAGTGCAAGTACTGTAGGAAGCGTATCAACGAGAAGGTATGTTTGTTACTTCACTTGGAGGGATGATGAAGAGGATGAGTGCTAATCAGGAAACAGTCTACTCGCTGCATCAACTGCACGAGTTGGCAGGATGGAAGGGAGGACAGACCTCATGGCCAGTAGTAGTGTGGTGGGCTTTCTCTTGTTTCTTTGCCAGTGTGTGGTGGGTGGTGACTGGTTTATGTTCTCGCCGTTGTTTTTTTGGTGGAATACAAAAGGCAGATTGTCTAAATGAACCAAGGTTGGTTGCTTGTTTCTTGGAGAGGTTGTTTCTCTGCTCATTCCCCTCAATATGCATACACGAGATACCCCTGGCGCATCAACGTGAGACAGACGGACGGACAGATTGCATGATATGAATAGTTTTACATCCTTAGATGTGTTTTTGTCTACCAGTTACACGCCATATGCCATTTGATCCAGATGAATTGCTACACAAACACCATATTTGTACACTCGACGACAAGTAAACATGTGCCCCCTACATCATCATGGCAGCTGCACCGCCCGCCATGGCGACAAGAACAGCCTGTGCAGTAATCCTCGGGACACCGCCCGTGCTAGCCGAAGTCGAAGCCGCATTCGAAGCCGCAGTCGAAGCTGCAGTCGGAGCTGAAGTCGGAGCTGAAGTCGAATCTGAAGTCGACGTCGCGGCAGCCAGCTTCTCCAGACCGGCCGTCAGCGTGACAGGCACAATATAGTCGCTGAAGCCCGTCAACGTCTCGACGTCGTGAGAGGTGCTCGTAAATGAGACAGCACCCGTAGCGCTGGCCGACTCGTCGATCTGGGTCAGGTCGCCGGTGCAGACGAGGATCTCGCCCACCGACGTGATCTGGCAGTTTGTGTCTGCCGTCGCGACATCTGCGTACGTCAGGTGCCACTCGAGCGTCGAGGGTCCGACAACGATATTGCCGCCCTGGCCAATACCGCATTCGGTAGAGTCGGTGCCGGGCGAGCACTGGATCGCGATGGACGTAACCGAGCCGCTCACCGCGACGACGGAGCCGACAATGGCGGTGTTGTCGCCGAGCTGGGGCAGGATCACGGAGATGACGGACGACTGCGCCTGGGCGAGCGTGGCGCCGGCGGCGACGAGGGCGAGGATGGGGAGCATTTTCGGGCTTATTTTAGAGATTGTTTATTGGTGAAAAGATGGGACGAAACGTGGTTCGGGTCTGCCAAGAAGGAGCGACAGCGGGATGGTGGATGCAAAAACGAGCGGATGGGTTGCGTGCAGCAGTTGAGAAGCCACGGGTAAAAACGATGCAGGAACCAAAGCTTTAAAAATGCGGGAAGGAGCAATGTTATAAGATAAGATCCCCACCGAGATCATCAACCAACAAAGGACCTGGATTGGGGTCTGTCGCGGTTTCATCGTAACCCCAACCCGGTAGCGGCGATTTCCTGTATTCAAGATCCTGGCAGGCTTGGCAGGGGGAAAAGGCAAACAAGCAAGGAAAGATCTGGGGAAAGTGCTTGGCCTCCTGACCCGCTATTTGACCGCGGCTCTTACCGTTTGAAGAAGAGCGAGGCATGGCATGACATGATAACCAAACGTTATCTCGTCCGAGTAATTTCTCATATTTTCCTCCATGGAAAGCACGACCTGACTGCCTCTGTCTGCCTGTGGGCCATTTCCCAAAGGCCCGCTCCGGAACCGCTAGGGCAAATGGATATACTAACAACCTGTTTTGGCCAAAACTTGGGCCATGGCAAAATAATCTCCGTCCGCATTGATTGTTTCATTTGACTGCAGAATACCACCTCCATCCCGATATTGTTGCTTCGTATTTCCAGACCAATCCCGGGACTATTACTTCCAGCCAGACTATATCAAGGCCTCCCATCACTGCTGCTGCAGGATGCTGCGTTATCCTCGCGCCGCCACCACCCGTGCTGGCCAAAGTTTGAGCACGACCACTTGCCTCTGCCGCGTCCGAAGCCGAGGTTGAAGTCGATATCGAAGTCGAAGTCGAGGTCGAAGTCGATATCGAGCTTGAAGGCGGGATCGTCGTCGACAAGATCGTGGACGTCGAGCCCATCTCAACAGTAGCTGTCAGCTTCTCCAAACCGGCCGTCAATGTGGCGGTCGTGTATAGCTCGGCGTACCCCGTGAGGGTCTGTGTATACGAATCGAGCTCTCTGGTGGCCTCTTTTGTGAAGGTCTACCCGCTGGACTTGCCAGCAGTGAGGGTGAAGGTCTACGCAAAAATCAAACGCTCAGTGAAGCCTGTGCAGGTGGCCGTGCCGGACTCGATGACGCAGGCGGTGGATGAGGTTATGAGTTACAGGTGTCAGCGGGAGAGGATAACATGGCAGGAGCATGAGCTGAAGTTCTCATCCATCCATCTGTCCTAAACAGGGGGGACGATGGGCAAGAAGCCCACACCCAAGAGTTGCTTGAGGAACGGGCAACTACTGACTGTAAATCTGAGTACGTATGGTGCCACTCGAGCGACGACGGGGCCGCGGTATACAGCAAGCCGCTGCGCAAGCCGAAGCAACACGTCGCTGTAGCCTCGGTATGGCATGAAAAGAAGTATGAGGTCGTGGACGAGCTGGCCGCAATGACGGAGCCCTCAATCTGCTGATGTCCAAGCCCGGGGAGGTAGAGCTTGAGGACTGACGTCGACTGAGAGAGGGCCGGGCCGGCGAGGGCGGGCAGTAGGACCACAGTTCGAATCATCTTGAGTTGCTGTGTGTGCTATGAGGGAGTATTTTAGGAGGAGTAAGAGGTAAGTGTGCAACTGTCGGCGGCGTGAGATGAAGGAGAAACAGCAAACACCGGTTAGTATTATATATTTCTTCAAACATGCCGGATGTCTCCCAGCCTCGAGCTATTCTGAGGCCTCCCTGTTGTTTACGTCGTAATCCTCTATTGTTTAGTTACAGACGATCGATGACCAGGCTATCAAGACAAACGGCTCCTTTTGAATTGCCACTCACAGAGTATCTATACTTCTTTGACGAGCCTGACAGCTTGTTATCGTGTACTAGATGCATGCAAAGCAGTTGATAGGCAACCATATACACAGCTCAGGTAGGTATCAAATACCCAAGGTAGTGTGTTACGTATTTTAACGAACAGCTAAGGCAATGTCAATACCCGCTCCGCTGTCTCTTCTTCTAACACGTCAACTGGATGCAACAGCAACACCACCAGCAACTTCGTATTCGACAATGTAGAATAGCCTACATGTAGTGTAGGATCAGTTGTGCAGAATAAAGGCATATCGTGGGAGGCCTCCAGCTCCTCCACGTGACGGGCAGAAGAATGTTGCTTGTTTCGGCGGACCCCTATCCCATGATTGGACATTTGTTTACGGGGCAGTTACCTACAGCATAGCACACTGTCTCAGACTTCAGTGCAACCTTTGAGCCGCCTTGGCACGCCTTACTTTTCAATAGCCAAAACAGGGGGGGAGTGTCCGGTATGCATCAGGTGTGGGAGTGGAATAATGATAACTGTGAAAAAGAGGGAGAAAATAGAAATAAATTTAAGGGGTGGGAAGGCAAGCACGGAGGAGTTGAGTATATGCTGTTAAATTGATATCCAGTCAGCCAACCCAACATCAAGACATTTGCCAGAGTCAACTACCAGCTCAGAAGCTCCCAGAAAGCTGATAGATGCCTATGGAACAACCCATGCCAGCAACCATCACGACCAACCTGGAGCCGACATAACGCAACGACACACATCCTGAGCAAGCACATTGCAAGTCCCAAGTTGGAAGGTCGAAACATAACGACCCATGGCCAGCTGAATTCACAAGGAGTGGATTAAACTGTGGCTATGGCTGCAGTCCACCGAGGGAGGGGGGTCAGGGGTTGATTCTGATTCTGCTGGCGAGCCCTACAAACAAACACCATGGCCAAACCTCCTCCGGCCCGGTATCCAAGTTGCATGATGCACCGC